ATTTTTATAATTAATGTCTTACTTTTATTATTGTACATCAATTTTTTGACAATGTTTTGGTGAATAATAATGTTTTCAAAAATCAAACATTCTAATATAAAAATAAAGAAATTTGGTGGTAATTTTTTTGGTTACTTCAAAACTAATTTTTTAAAGAAATAACTCAATCATATAAAAAATATTTTAGCCATGAAATCTTAATTTGGGCACTTCAAATTTAGTTAAAGAAAATTTTAGAAATGATAGTTTTGAGCAGTTGAAACTTTATATTTTTATTGAAATTATAAATATGCAATATTGGTATCATATAATGATCTTAAGAATTTATGAATTGTGATATTTTTTGTAAAAATTGCGGTTGAAATAAAATAGTTATAAAATTTTACAGAAAAAATGAGTTTTTATTTTCTTGGGTATCACATCTATGCATCTCTTGACTCTGCCATTATCATGTGTAGTCCTAATCTCATTCTCCTGTGTATGTATGTGAATGGAATGTAGGTGATTTTGTTTGTAATACTTTTAAACTTTTTAAAAGTAAGAGTTGAATTTTCTTCTCTTTCCGAAGGCATCAATCCATTTTTTACTACATAGTAATTTTTGTAATAAATAATATTGATTGATACAATGATAGCTTCATTTTTTTTAACCCGGAAGGCAAACCACCAAAATCAGTGGGGTAAATGTCGGGGAACATTTACCAGCTTTTGTTAGAATGAAAAAATGGGGTACAAAATGAGAGGGGAATCAAACCAAAACCTCCCACGAAGCATACCTCCTAAAATACAATGATAAAAAGGAAAGATTTTGGGGTGGCTAAACCTGATCCGGAATAAAATCCATGAAAACAAAGACTAAAAACGAAAAGCAGGAATGCCGAAATAGTCCATGTAGTAGGCCCTTCGTGCTACCATATGAAGAGAATTTGGGCTGTTAAAATTTTTTAAGAAGCCCAAATATGCTCCAGTAAGGTAATGGGCTGTCCAATTCCCCCCCTCAGCGTATGCCCGAAGGAAAGACCTTTCCTATTTACAAGCTGCGTGATTTCCAAAATCAAATCTCTCCATCTTCTTACCTGTGTATCTTGCAAAAATCTCATCACCAACATAGAATCCGTTTCCACATGAAAGCCTGCAAACCCGTGGTTCATCATCCATTCAGAAGCTGTAAAGATTGCCCTCAGTTCCGCCTCCAACGTAGATGATATCTTCAATTCGAAGGTAAACTTATTTAACGGTATTTGATAAAAAATTAGCTTATAAGATCGATAAATACAAAAAATATAGGTTAACCATAAGGACTTTTAATTTTAATACATCAGATATAAAGCTTCCATTAACTTTTTTAGCTTAGACAAATCTCTTCAATATTAACTTAAGAGATAACCATCTATAAGAGTCGGGAAAATCTTTTATAAGGATTGATGATTTGATGTGCTTCTTCAGGCAATTCTACTCGAGAACAAAGATAATAAATCACAGATCCTTGAGTACATTGTCTGATAACAAGTGAGCACATTAAGTAACATTTAAGTAATTTTTAGTTTGTTATCCCGTGCAATGCACGGACGTAAGACTAGTTATACTCAATTAAAATACGTTCAATCAAAATATAAATATGTTCAACGGTGTGACGATCATTCAATTCACGAAAAGCAAGAACACGTTTATGCATATTCCAATCATTATCAATATAATGTACAGTCACACGCCCATCTGTCAGAACATACAGTAACACGCCCATCAAAGTTTGCAAAATAATTTTGTAACCTTACCTTTTCCGCACCATAAAGCCTTGAAATTTCTTTCTTAACCGTTTTGCGACTATAACCTCTATATTGAGGATTTAAACAAGTTTGTGCATAATCTTTGAAAGCAAGACTTTCAGAAAACAAATAAGGCAAATTTTCTTCAACGAGTAAGTTAGCCAGTCATACCAGTCAAATTTTGTGCATCATTGTATGAGAAATTACCAAAAGGTTGTTGGTTATTTGCAAACCTCGATATTTGAGTTTGCTTCCCCGTTCTGCCGCCTAATTTTGCGTACTCCGCCGTGTGTTTGGCCTTAAGATGCCCTGCGGTGGATCCGTATCTGCCGGAAATTCCCAAGCTATAATTTTTCTTGCACCACTTGCAAGTTGCGTTCCAATTCCCGGTGTTCGGGTCCTTCCACTTATCAAAATTATTAAGCATTAGTTCAAATTTACTTTTTTTCGTACCGGTTTGGGATGAGGCAGGCTTGTCGGCATCGTGGCTGCCGCCACCCTCCTCCGCGTCGGCGTCGTGGCTCTCCGGAATTACTTCCTCCACATCGTCATCCTCGAGCTCTTCTTCGTCAATGGTCCTCGGCTGGTCTTGGAAAAAGCGGCTATTATGTCAGTGCAATTCTTGTTCTAGTTGTTCGTCGGTCATCGCATCCTCATCCCTCCTTGCGTAACCCGTATCAAAATCATCTCGGCTTTGAGATGAAGAGCCGATATGTGATTTTACCTTTGCGGGATCTCTTCCTCGCAAGCTCGTTCGTTCGGTTGCGGTCGAGGTTACCCATATCAACCGAACACAAATATAAGTAATATAATATATGTATTGATAAGTAGATAATTAAGATATAAGTAGATAAGAAATATAAGTAATATAAATATATGTATTTATAAGTAAATAAATAATATAAGTAGATTTATAATATATTGGAGAATAAGAGAATTAGAGAAGATAAAGATGAATATAATTAGAGAGTAGAGAGTAGGATTTAGGAAGAGTTGGAGAAGATATATGGAAAAATGTTTAAGATTAGGAGTATTTATAGTTTTTTTTACCCCACCCCCACCACACCCCCACCCTCCCCCCCTCCCCCCAAACTGCCCGGGCCCCCCTGCCAGCCCACCCAACAGCTATATAGCCGTTTGGGTAGTCCCCAGCCCACCCCCAACGGCTCTATTGGCCCAAAATAAAAAAAAAAAATGTTTTTTATAAGTAGCCGTTGTGACCCAGGCCCGGGCCGGGTCACGTTTTGCCGGAACCAAGCCCGCCCCCCCCGCTGCCCCCCGGTTCGGGTCTACACCCAGTCCCGGACCGCCAGACCGGGCCGGTCCCAGGCCCGCACAGTAGCGGGTCAGGCCAGGTGACGGGCCGGATGGCCCGAACCGAATCCACCCCTAAGCAAAACCGGACCTCAACCTTCTTTGATTTCGGATGTATAAGGTTTTGAAAAAGAAAAAAAAATTACTAAATTCGAACCTACACAAATATGATTCAATTTTAGTTCTTGTTACTTCAATAGTTCAATATGAATTGGTTCTATCGAACTGTACCAAAATGCTCACCTCATGTGTAACAGAGAACTAACGAAATGATAGATGAGGAACCTTGAAATTAAATTTTGTTTCATTAAATGTCAAATACTTCAATTTCTTTGAGGTTGAACTCTAATTTTCTTGAACAAAATAGGTATGCTTGGGTATTGCCGTATTAATATGATTTTAATAGCATCCAGTGTGGAATTCATAACAATGAACTAAATGGATTTCGATACCGCAAATTTACAGGACAATTCTGGATCATACAACTAACAATTATAAGCTATTTTAGTCGTCACAAACTATTGGCCTAATGGAATAATTAATCATATATGTTGGTTGGGAATTGGGATGAACCAAGAAATGAAGTAGGTTAAATATGATCTATTTATCCAAGACGTTAGTATTCATAACAAGGTTGAGGTTGCTTTGTCATAAATAGAACAAACAATAATACAATAATAAAACTTTGAGTTCAATCAATTATCTAGTTCAATATAAAGTCACATTTAGGAGTGGACTAGGGCCGGGCCAACCGGGCCGGAACCGGACCGGCCAGCTACTGTGCGGGCCTGGACCGGCCCGGTGTACCGGTTAGTTGCCCGGTTCGGGCCACCCGGCCCGGTGGGATGGCGGTTCAGGCTCGGGTCCTTCAAAAGGTGAACCGGCCCGGCCGGTTCGGGCCCGGGCCGGGCCAATTTATTATTATTTTTTGAATTTTTTTTAAGTTTTGGGGTTGGGCTGGGTATTTTGGGCCATTTGAGGTGGTTAGGGTTGGTTTGGGGTGAGGGTAAGGTTGGGGTTAACTAGGAAAAGCCAAAAAAGAAAAAAAAAATAGAACCGAGGCCCAGCCCAGACCCGGGAGTTACCCGGGCCGGTTCCGGGCCTCCCCTTCATGAACCGAGGCCCGGCCGGGCCCAGGCCCGAACCAGAACCGGTCCATCCCTAGTCACATGTCAATTTTATACTACATTGATCATGTTGTAGTGAGACTTGAATTTCAACTTAACCTTTGAGTTATAAATTCGAAGTATCTCTATGTTGTTATTGTTGTACAACATGGACAGATCTACAAGGGCAAAACTTCACTTGAGAATCCAAACAAGCTATTGACGGAAAATATTGTTGTATCGATCAATGTCCACTTTTGTGTAGTAGTAATTTGGCAAAAATATAAAAACCATGGGCTATATAACATGACTTCATAAATCTTAGGGTTAAATTCACGGTCCAAAAATATGATACTAGTCTTACAGAAATCATGTACATGTAAACTATGGAGGATTATAAATCCCATATTACAGTACAATTCGGGACATTCTGTACATTTTTCATACAGACCACAAATGTTCACAACCTGAAACCATAGCTTCAATGCAACTTGGACAATTCGATTTGCTAGAATTACCTTAACAAAGAAAGCTTACTACTAGTGCTCCATAGTTCAGTTTTAGAGAGCACGCCAATACTATGACATTTGAGAAACACACACCAAAACCAAAAGAACCTCTTAAATTTGAAAGCCTTAATAGAAACTTGAGGAGAAAGAAGGCAACAAACAGTAAGAAAGATGATGCTTTCTTTAATTGAATTAAAGGAACAGTTAGAAAAGAAGGGGAACACACACTAAACCTAATTTGCAAGCATCAATGCACATAGTATCAAAGAGATGCATGACAGTTCCACTAGTAACACCCCATTTATCTTAGATTACAACTAGGAAAGAAGTATATATGGCATTATGCAATAGGCATGAAATTATTAGAACTTTTGCAGCTAAATATTATCACCACACAAATGAATGTCTGGTAAGGGTTTGAAGCTTTCATGATCCAACTACATGGTTTGTTGATTCAATATAATTGAATAAAGACAATCTGCCAATTTATGATCAAAATTTTTTCCACTTCTAACAAAGCTAAGAATAGAGCATTACACACCAGCAAACCATCAAGCAAGCAGATTTTTCAGATCGGGACATAACGCTTCATTGCCTGTTTTGCTGTCACTCCCAATCCAACAATGACGCCACCGAAAACTCCGGCTAAAGCAGCCGACCTCAGCCCAGATGCCGCCCTGTACATAGCTCCAGTTCCTAGTCCCGCAACAATGCTGTTAATGACGTCATCCGTGTCCCTGATGGCGACCATACCGCTCTCCATCCCAGCATAGAGCAGCCCGATCACACCAGCCCGATTACCAAACTTCCTCCCAGTGTGACCTGACCCATTCAAAATTCTGTTGACCCGGAGCTTCATCGACTCCCCTGCCTCGGAAGCTCGTACGCCCTCGAAGAAACCTTTACCAGCCCCGACGGTGGCTCCGCCTAGATATCCGATGCCGGTGTAGTAGGTTAGGTTCTCTCCCCATGATCGTCTTTGAACACGGGATTCTTCCTGAAAGAGAAACTCGGGGGCTGTCGGGAGCTGGAAAAGGGCCTGTGTTGGGATTTGGAGGTCGTGGTAAGGGTTGTAGAGCCGCCGATTATGGAGATCTCGTTCGTTATTGAGGTTTCCCTTACTCGGAGATTGAGACTGATAATCCATTTTTAACAAACTCGTCGCGATTTGCTCTGTCCGATAAAAGTTAGGGTTTAGCAAGAGCTATAGGAGAGAGGAACCAGGTGGAGAGGGGGGTTGCCAGCTTTTTCTTTCTTGAAGAGTTGTTAAGGATGCCCGGTTCAACCGGTTTACTAGGTTTTCATTGGAGTACGTTCGATGCATTAAACTCCATATAGAAATTCGGCCAATAGTCCCTTGAATTAAAATACTCCGTATTGCTAAGTTTTTATCCCGTAACTATTATACAATTTCCACATTTAGTTTCTTACTTTCAGATTGTTCACATTTAGTCTGTGACCATTATCCCCTCACCATCCCTCGTCCTTCCGGCCAAAATTTTGACAAATTTAATGCAGATTTTAGGTATGAAAAACCAAATTTAATGCAAAGACTGATATGAAAAACACAACCTTATATAAAATTTAATGCAAAGACTGATTCTGAGGCTGATAAGTGGACTAAATTTGCCGGAATTTTGGCCAGAAGGACGAGGGGTGATGAGGGGATAATGGTCACGGACTAAATGTGGACAATCCGAAAGTAAGAGACTAAATGTGGAAGTGGTATAATAGTCATGGGACCAAAAGTGGACTTTTTTCTAAAATATTCATCAAGTCCTATTGGGCTATAACTTTTTTTGGGTAAGCTCACACGCAACAACGCTTATCTTTCATTTATAATTAAGCCAGGTTGGAAAATCTCAAAAAACATCATACAATAAATGAAGTGATAAAGTAAGATGAAATAAGGACTAAGGGGGGTGTATTCATTAATGACTTTTTAAGACATTTTAGTATTCTTAAAGTTTGAGTGTATTCAATCAGGAGATTCAGAGAGTCCAAAATAGTCTGGATGTATTTAAAACATCAACGAAACTTTGGATTCTTTTTTGGATTTGGATTTGATAGGACTTTAGAGGAAAAATAGGCTAGAAATCCCACAATCAAATCCCATGTCTATATGTGAGTTTTGTGAGACTCCTCGTGGAAAGCCAAAAACTGCACTTTTAACCATTTTTCTTCTCATTCACCAAAAGGTTAGTCGCAACCGGAAACTACCGTACTGAAAGAGTAATAGGTGGCCTGCATGAAACTGCCCCTGAATGTAACCTGACTAAACCTGCCCCTGTACCGATTTTGTCGCCTGGCTCGCTCACCTCCCTGTCACATTGCATCTGTAGCGTTGTTGTGGGATTCACTGATTGGGCTTCAGCTCACCTCCCTGTGGCTGTTGAATCGTTTTCTTCACATATATCTCTGATTCATCTTGCTCCAAGTCCAAATAATTTGAATCTGATGGAAAAGCTAGTTCTCTTTATCTCGTCTGACTATATCCGACGGAAATGGATCAGATGATGACACATACGACTATACGAGTACAAACATGTTGTCCTGCTACAAGATGTGGCGAAACTTCGAACATAAATTGAGTGTAAAGCTATAGGAGTTCAGCAGAGCTAGAGATGGGTGAACTATGCTATTCACAAACGGGAGCCACACGTCATGCTTGCCAATGAACTTTAACATGTCTTAGAATGTCTTTTAAAAATGTCCGTACAATTCTATTGAAATCTAGATAAATCCAAAAAAGTCTTTTAAAATCTCATAGAAATCCAAATCTCAAATTGATTTAAAATGTCCCAAATGAATACACCCCCTAAAATAATACTGTGGGCTTTTAGTTTGACAAAAGTAGGATCAACTTTAAAATTAGACAAAAAAGATACTGCATATTATCAGACAGATGTTATCAGGCAGACGAGAATGCCCTTGGATCCATAACTGCTCAAGTCTCATCGCTTGGCTCAGATCTTCCCATCATCCACTTATCTCTGACCTGCGCAGCTCATCTCCTCCCACTGACGCGCAATTCATCTCTTCTAACCGAACGCGGCGGAGGCTCATCTCTCCCACTAGCGACATCCCCAATCGTCCTTCTGTCTCTTTTGTTAAAGTTTCACACTGGATATTTCTGAAAGAATTAAACACTATATTAAGACCTGAGCCAATCCTCCTATCAGGTTGACGTTTTAGGATTGAACCTCAGATCTTAATATGGTATCAGAGCCAAATTGATCATGTGCGGCCCCATATATATTACACAAGCCAATGTTTGCCTCTCATTCCAAAATACAAAATATCAGTGCAGCCAAATACATCAGGGTCTTCTCCCTTATCCAGGATTGCACATATCAGTGCAGCTAAATGCAGAGTGTAGGAGTAAGTTGTCACATACATTTCTTTGGAGTAACATGAGTGCACGTATACTTCAGGGTCTTCTCCTTTATCCAGGATTGCACATATGGCATGACAACAGGGAATACCAGTCAGACCCCATATTCTACATGCACATGTTATTGCATTCAGATTGACCTTGAACTGAGACCTTCCTTTTTTAATTTCATAGCCATCATCCCCATTAAAATCAACATTCCAGCCTTGACTTGATAGTATGTTCTTGTTCAACTTTTTCATTATCAATGGTCCAAATGCACCTGAAAACACAAAAGAAAAAATGGTAAACAATAATGGTCATATCTGTCAATGAGTGGTAATCAGTGTTATGCAGGTTCCCCACCTAGCCACTTCTTCACATATTTTTTCTTCTTGGTTATTCTCTTCATCATAGCCACTCTCATACACTCAAGCATAGGGATCAATGGCTTGTCTCTGAACTGAACCAGTGTGCTATTGAAAGCCTTAGACAAGTTGTTATCAACACTGTCACACTTCACATCAGTCTTTAAAAAGGCCTTCCATCAGAACTTCAGTGCATATTTGCACAACTCTGTACCTGCTGCAGCATCAACCTTGTCTAACTAACTCCCTTAACGAAGCCTGTAGTTGAGGTTCTGAGGTAGACTTAGCACACTACCAAAATAGTTTCTTCAACACCATGCCTCTATGAGTTTTGCTCCAGTTCGCATGTATATGTCTAGCACAATTTCTGTGCTCAGCCTGAGGGAGAACACTCGCTATTACATTTGTCAGGCCCTACACAAAAAGTCATATCATTGTCAATACATAAGAATAAGAACTTAATGAGTTTCTGAGTACCCAAAATAAGATTAAGGCATATTACTTAATACAACATTCAAAGTACAAAATATGTACTGACCTTCTGTTGATCACTGATAATGGTCCAATCTGAAGGGTTAGTGATCTGCAAATCCTCCCTCAAATGCTCTAAAAACCAGGTCCAGGACGAATTGTTTTCCATTTCAATTACTGCCCATGCTACAGGGTACATCTGATTATTAGCATCTCAGCCTACAGCACTCAAAATCTCTCCCTTCAACTGCCCCTTCAAGAAACAACCGTCCAAACCTAGTACCTTCCTACACCCTGACCGAAAACACTTCTTAACAGGCCCCAAACATACATAAATGCGTTGAAAAATCATAGGAGCTTCTTCCACAACTCGGTCACTCTTGATAACCACAGTGCTATCAGGAATTGACCTCAATATTTCATCAGCATAGTTTCTAAGTTTTCTAAATTGGTCCTTAAAAGAAGATAGAGTTTTTTCTTGAATTTCTCTCAAACTTCTAGTTGCCATACTGATGGAAATATTGATTTTTTGTTCAGCTCTCACAAGGTTCTTCAACTCTACAGCACCCATTGAAGGATTCTCTATCACTTTATCCTCATATGTGTCTGACAACCACTTCTGACTCACTAATCTAAGTTTATACTTCAAGTTACACAAATGCTGTGAGACCAAAACCTTGAGTTGAAAACGCTTCAACCTGTTTTCCTAACTTCCAGTACAAGCAAAGGGACAATTAATGGCGCATTTAAGCCTGACTCTATGTGGCTCATTTTTAACAAATACATTATCTCTTTTATGATAAAAAGCATATTTAATCAGGGCATTTTTGAATTGAGTACCGTCCTCAAAAAGCATCCCCACAACAAAATGGGGAGGATCAGATTCTTGGTTAGAAGAAGCATTGTGGGCAGGTGGCTTTTTGGAACTCTGCTCATCTTCTTGCTCAGACTGGTAGCTACCAGGGTTGGATGAGTCATACTCCGTAGTTTGTTCCTCAGAATCACTGTTATGGCCTATTGAAGTTTGTTCAGTATGCATAAACTCCATTTCCTCAGTTGCATTGGAAGTATGGTCTGCAGTGACTGACACATCTCTCATGCCATCATCTTCATGACCTCTTTCCTCAGTACCATCTGCACTTTCATTTCCACCTTCACCATGTTCTTCAAAATCACTATCAGAACCTGGGGCATCACTCCCAACATCTGTGTCATCATTGATTCCTTTTTCAGGAATTAGACCTTCCTCGTCTTCATCATCAGTATACGCTTTACCTTCTTCAGCATCACCATGATGACCATAAGGTTCATGACCTTCAGCATTATCTTCATGACCTTCTGGCTGTGATTCTTCCTGTGTTGTACCAATTGGTCTCGCTAATTCTACTTCTTCCACCAAAATAACCTCGTCTATTGTGTGTGCTACATAAATCTCACATTTACCACAACTTCTGGCCAAATCAATAAGATGCGGAGCAGACTTATCATCAAAGAGCTCATGTAAGGACTCCAATGGGGCACTTGGTTTTTTATAGTACAGACCACTGATGTTGCCATACTTCCCACTTTGTAAAAACTTCTTCAAATGAGGATAGCTTATCACATCAGGATCAGCGGGTATAGAATCTATTGCTCCCCCAACATACATTTTATGAGGCAAAGCAACAAAATCCCCCCCATGGTGAATTATCAGTTCCACCGTCTCAAACATCCTACACACATTACAGATTAAAAACCAATTTTGATTTCAGATGTTCGCCCAAATGAAATACTAACCACCTCATCGCCTAGGGTTAATTGAGTACAGAAATGAGTATGGGAAAGGGAATGAAACATATAAACCACTTTGGGAATGGGAGTGCAGTACATTATAAATACATACCTTACTGTTATTCATTGTGAGATTGAAATTTTTTCGTCCACGATCGCTCATTAACAAGAGGGGAAGCTCAAGAACGGTGAAGAAGGGTTAGGGATTGGGTTGTTATGCTTTTGGGGTTGGATTTCGGGTTTAGTTTTAGCGGGTTGACACGCAGGATAAGTGGCCGGGTAGTTTGGTGCCACGTATACTT